AGAATAATAAAATTTTGTATTTTCAATGATGTATTCATTTTAAAAATACATATGTGGTGAATTTACACATGGATCTCACCTGATGGGCTGCACAGGAATCAGACTGACTACATCTGCAGAAGAAATTGTTGGAGAAGCTCAGTATCAGTAGTCAACACTAGGCCACTGTGGGTAAGATCATTAATTATTCATGGAAGAATCAAAGAGAGGTGAAAGAAAATGAAAACAAGTCCATGAGAACCAAAATATGATCTTTAATCCATTACATCTGAATTCCAAGATCGTCTTAAGAATAGGTTTGAAGCACTGAACACCAATAACCAAAGACCAGATGACTTTGGGGATGATATCAAGCATGAAGAGAACAAAAGGTCATTACAAAGAGAAAAAATAAAAAAAAAACCCACAAAATGGATGTCAGATGAGACTCTGAAAGGGAAAGTATGCTGAAGTAAAAGAAGTGAACAGAAGATTTAAAAGGGAAGCTCAGGAGGACAAAGCATATGAAATGTGCAGAGAGCTGGAATTGGAGAATGAAAAGGAAAGAACTCACTCTACATTTCTCAAGCTGAGAGAACTGAAAAACAAATTCAAGCCTTGAGTTGAAATACTGAAAGACCCTATGAGCAATATATTGGATGATTCAAGAAGCATCAATGAAGATGGAGTGAATACACAATCATTGTAGCAAAAAGAACTAATAGACACTGAAAAATTTCAGGAGTATCATGTGAGGAGCAGGAGCCAATGGTAATGAAAGAGGAAGTGGAAGCTGCATTGAAGGCACAGGCAAAAAAAAAAAAAAGGCCTCGGGAATTGATGGGATACAAATTGACTTATTTCAATTAACAGCTGGAGCCCTGGATGTGTTCACCAGTCTGTGCTAGGAATTTGGAAGACTGTCTGGCCAAAAGATTGGAAGAGGTCCATATTTGTTCCATACCCAAGAAAGGTGATCCAACAGAATGTGGAAAATGCAGCAGCTATCAAATAATACTATTAATATCACTTGCATTAATCATTAATCAAAATAACCACCAGATACCATTTTGTATCCACAAGAATGAGAAACAAAATAACAAACATTGGTTAGGATGTGGAAAAATCGAGAAACATATATACTGCTGGTGGAGATATAAATGAGTCACTGTAGAAAACAGTTTGGTAGTTTTCAAAAAGTTAAAGAGAATTACCATGTGACCCAGAATTTATATACTCAGCCGAATATCCATAAGAACTGAAAGAAGACGTTGAAACAAAAGCTTGTACACACATGTTCATGTAAGTATTGTTCACAACAGACAAAAGGTGAAAACACCCCAAACATCTGTCTACTGATGAATGGATTTTTAAAAATGTGGTATCTCCACATAATGGAATATTATTCATCCATAGTGTTGTTGTGAGATACTGTCCAGTCAAGTAACAGCTCATAGAAACCCTATTATCAACAAATCTTTTCACTGCTCTCTCCTGTGCCATCCACACAATCTCAAACACACTTGAGGAGCCCATTGCTGCCGTCATTCTGTCTTGTAGAGGGTGTTCTATAAGGTGTTGGGGAAGCATGCTGAATGAACTTCCACAAGAACGAACAGCTACATCTTGGAGAAGGTGCAGCCATGATGCTCCTTGGAGGCAAAGATGATGAAGCTTCGTTTCATATCCTTTGGGTATGCTGCTAGAAGATGTTATTCCTAGGAGAGGTACATCATGCTTGGAAAGGTGAAGGAACAGTAAAAAGAGAGGAAGATCCTCAACCAGGTGGATTGACAAAGTGACTGAAGCAATGGGTTTGAGCGTGTCTGAGATTGTGAGGATGGCACAGGATAGGACAAGGTTCAGATATGTCATTCTCAGGGTCACTATGAGTCATACTCTAGTCAGCAGTACCTAACAACAACAAAACATGGCTGAACCTTGTAAACAGTATGCTAAATGGGGAAGCAAGTCACAAAAACTACACACACACACATACCAAAAAAAAAAATCCACAACAGGCAAAACCATACTGGTAGAAAGAGAATAGTGGGGGGAGTAGAAATTTAAAGTGATTATTTAATAAGGTAATAAGGTTTCTTAGATGGACAAGTTCTGGAACTAGATAGGTGGAACAGATGCACAATGTACACATTAAAGTGTACATATTAAAAGGAGATTTTTTAAAAATACATGTAATTTTTAACTAGCTTTTCATGTTGATGGGAGGGAAAAAAGAAACTCTTTAAGAGAGGAATCAAAGATAATTTTTTATATGTACACATGTTTAGATGTAAACAAGTGTAGATTCATTTAAAAATTTTAAGACCAGGACCACTCAGGCCACAAATTTTAGTATTAGATGGGACAGTGGCAGTGCAGTTGTGCACATTCTGTGACATCATCATGCACCATATTTTAGAAGACTAGTCCCACACACAAAGCGGTAAACACACTATGGACAGAGAGACTCTACATACGAGAGTCCAATCACGACGATACACTTACAGAGGTAGGTGCTAAAATGATTAAACCTTCAGCTGCTAATCTGAAAGACAGCAGTTCAAACCCACTAGTGTTCTATGGGAGACAGGACCTGGCAAACAGATCCCCAAAATGGTACAGCCTAACAAAACCGTGGGGCATTTCTACTCTGTTACACCAGATCACAGCGAGCTGTAATAACGGATGGCACCTTAAGAGCATCAGTGAAGCATGGTGGGAATAAGAACAGGTAATGGTACCTTGTTATCAAAATACAATCCTACTCATCCACTGTCTCTTCATTTTCTCATTTGTAAAAGGGAAATAAATTATCACATAGTAGATATTGTGTGAGTTCATGCATGTACACTGCAAAGAAGAGTAAGCACATAAGCATTATTTATTATCATAATTCTATTGTTCTAGGCCTTATCAGGGAGCTCTAGTGGCCTAGTAGCCAAAAAGTTGTACTGCCAACCCTAAGGCATGCAGCTCGAATCCACTCTAATGGAGAAAGTTGGGCAATCTCCTCCTATAGAATTTAAAGGCTCTGAAAACCCACTGGAGGGCCAGCTATGATTTAATCACACACAACGACACATCTCTTCAACTCTCCTTTACTATCATTTCTCTTTTCCTCACACCCTTTAAACTTCCCTTTACAGGGAGGCAGGGCCATTCCCTGATTTTGTGCATTTCTTTCTTTAGGAAGAAGCTAATTATAGTCTCTCTAGGGTTTAGGGAGCTGTGGTGGCTCAGTAGTAAAAAGCTGTGCTGCCAAACCAAAGGCACATGGTGGTTTGAATCCACCAGCTTCTCTGTAAGAGAAAGAGAGGCAATTTCCTCCTTCACAATTTCTTGCCCCTGGAAACCCACTGGAGGTTCAGCTATGAGTCACTATCAACTCAATGGTATATAACAAGCTGCACTGCAATCCCAAAGCCACGCAGTTCAAATCCACCAGCTGCTTCGTGGGAGTAGGAGTGGTAATCTCCCATGTGATTAAATGCCTCTGAAAACCCGCTGGAGAGTCTGCTACAGATCAATTCCGACTTCACTGTACACAAAAACACTACCACTCTAGGGTTTAAGTCTAAAACACTACAGATAATGCAAAGCCTATAAAACTCACCATCTGCTATATAAATTTTAAGTTTTAAAGACAACTTTATACTTTTAAGGCCACATAAAAGCAATACACGGCATATTTAAATTAAGTCTATCCTTGGAGGCAAGGATGGAGAAGCTTCATGTCACGTAATTTGGGCATGTTGGAGAAGGACATCATGCTTGGGATTGTGAAGGAGAGGAAGACCCTCAAACAGATGGACTGACACAGTGACTGCAGCAGTGGGCTCGAGTGTGTCTGAGATTGTGAGGATGGCACACAAACTTCACCAGGGTAGAACAAGGTTCAGACCTGTTGTTCCTAAGTTGCACCTGACTCAACGGCACCTAACAACAACAATCTACTTTACAGGAAGATTCAAATACTACAATATCGATTTAAAGCAAATGAGGAAAAAAGGAAAAAAAGAAATTAAATTTGCTAACTGAAAAGGTAAAATCAATCTAGGAGTAATATTAGTTAAGAAAACAAATACCAACCAAATAAACAAGCCATTAATAGTCTATACACTTGTTAGCTACAATACTCCAATCTGCTCCTAACCTCTTCAGTTCCTGATACAAAGAAGGAGCTGACTAGCTAAATTGTTCATTGTGTCCTCAAGATTTTTAATAAAATCCAGGTATGGGGCACAGAGAAGGGAGGAGGGGGGGAAAATGATGTGCAGAAGAGTTAGAATCATCTGTGGTGGTGGGAGAGAAACTCCTTCCTTAATATATTCCTTGATGTATTTCACTTGCATTCCTACGTTATAATTACATGTTTTCAAATTATTTTATCCTCAGATAAATTATCTCTTCTTGGTTCACCTTTAACAGCTAGATAAATTGAGAGTCTGGAGGTTGTCAAAGCAAAGGAACATTTATGTAAATGCATAAAACCGGGCACCGTGTTATAAATAATACTACTTTCTTAGGAAATTTGGGTACACGGACAAGGTATCATGGCAAAAAGAGAAAACTTTTAAAAGACAGACCAAGTTTTCTTTACACAGAGACCACTGAAAGGCAACTCCCTATGTGCCTTTCCTATTACGAAGCCCTGGAGCTCCTATACAGCTTCTTACCCAAGAAAGGCAGGACAAGAAGGAAAGGACTCTGGTGAAGAGGACAACAGTCTCTGAAGAAAGACACAGCAAGAAGCTCTGGATGTTCATCCAAAACACCAGAGGTGAGCTGAGACTGGTAACTCAAGCTTGAGGCTAGGGCTAAGAAGATGATCAAAACCTCATTTACATGGCAACTCAATGTTTTCTGGGGCTTTTTGAGGAGGTGGGTTTGTTTTTATAACTAATAAGCATAAGATTTTTGAACATGAAGAACAATTTTCCTTTAATGGATCTCTCCCTCACATGCCCACTTGCCCACACGTGGGTGCGTGCACATAGACGCACATCCGACGTGCTTACCTTGTTAAGCCACTTCAGCCCTGGTATTGTATTTGAATTTATCTGCTCCTCCAGCCATGGGCGCATTCGCATCCTTTCCACAGGCATGGTATCCTGTTGAGAAGAAAGACACAGAATTAGACATTTCTAATGCTGATTGTCACCTGTTTGCATGACAAAGTTCTACACTGCTGCTTGGTCTTATTCTCTTCCTCAATAGCACACAATTTTTCTGTATGGTCTCATGTGGAGCATAATTGGGAGAGTGTACTGAAGGGCTTTGCCCCCTCCAGCCACTACTGCTACATGTCTCTCTGTCTCATTCTCAGGGAACTGTCTCAGCAAGGTCAGTAGTGTGACTCAGGCCTGCCCATGATGTGTGGTTCTCGGCTGAGAAGACCCTTTGGAGGCTTAGACTGGCAAGTGGCCAGAGGGCTCACACTCTTGTCAGTGACCTTGTCTGAACCACTGTAGGTCTGAGTCAACTCAGAGATGACTTGGAAGAAAGGCCTGATAACCTATTTTTGCAAAATCAGCCACTGAAAACCCTATGGAACACGGTTCTACTCTGACACAAATGGGATCACGTTGTGTTTAAATCATCAGCAATTGGTTTATTGGGACCATGGCTAGAAAAAGCAAAGCAGTTGTGACATCAAATAATTACTAATATTATTAATTTAATTCTTTTGGAAAGCAAGAGTTGCAAATACTAAGCACTTCAAATAAGCTTTTTGTTGTTAGGAAGGGCCAGTGTCTGAAAAAGGACATCATGCTTGGAAAGGCTTAGTTTCAACAAAGGAGGGGAAGACCCTCAACAAGACTGTCACAGCGACTGTGATGGTGGGCTCCAGTCATCAGGGATGCTCCGATGGCACGGGCAGGGCAGGGCTTAGATCCACTGTTCACACGGTCACTACAAGTCTTTTCTTTTTTTTTTTTTTCTCTGTACTGGTTTATTTACAAAACTTGAATACAAATTAAAAAAATTCTTTCCATTTCCCTTGCCCCTCCCATCAAGTTGTACAACCCAATGATTAATCCGCTTCCCCCTGCACATCCACATCCCTCTGCTTCCAGCCTTTCCCACCCCTCCTGGATCCTTATACTCATTATACAATAATGGTTTTATACAATATTTACCCTTGTGGGCCCGAGTTAGTTCATACAGCATAATGCTCTCCAGTCTCTCCCAAGTTAGGTATAATAATTTACAAAGTTATTGCTCCTGCCAACTTGATGGCACTAACTGCAACTAACCACCAAACATATTGATATCTTCGCTGTTAAACACCATCAAGTTAGCTGGTACTCATGGCCACCCTATGTACAACAGAACAAAGGCTTGGCCACTCCTGTGCTATCCTCACCATCTCGGCTGTGCTTAAATCCATTATTGTAGTCACTGGCAAATCCATCTCACTGAAGCTCTGTTGATTTTTCACGGACCCTCCACCTTTCCAAGAATGATATTCTTCTCTAGGACTGGCTCTTCCACACTCTTGTACCAAACAGTCATTCTCTCCTGGCTTGTTCTGTCTACTTTCAGAGCTCACCAGCATTCTGCTCTGGCTTCATCTTTACTTTTCCCAAATGCAATCTCTTGTAGTTATTGTTGTTGTTATGTGCCATTGGGTCACCTACAATGCATAGCGACCCTAGATACAGCAGCTCTGAACCCTTCTGTGTCCTGACTAATTCTGATGCACCAACGCCCACTGCCCTAGGCCACTGTATCAATCCATCTCAT